AACACTTGTTGCCCTCTTAGGTGGTTGGTGGGGGCTGATGACTTCATGTGTGCTGAGAACAGTGCGTGGTAGGTAGCAGGCAATTTGAACATGGAAGCTATGCTCGTTATCTTTAAGTAAATGTTCTGTTTCACTGCTGACAAGTCACCCCTATTACCATCTTTATTCCTATTTAGCTTTCTTATGCCTGTTTATTCTCCTTAGTGCTACGTGAGTCATCTTATGTTTGCTCATTATCTCCCCACCTCAGTTCTTAGCTCCTTGGAGACTTATATCAGTTTGGGGGAGACTCATCTATTGTGGTTCAGAGTAGTGGCCCAGCATATGTTTACTGACTGATTTTGAACCCTATGGAAACAGGGATTAGTAAAAACCTATGCCGATTGAGGGATGGCTCTGAGATAATTTTCCTGGGGTCATTTCATTACTTCTTCTAGGAAGCCATAGGAATATTTCAGTACTGGTTAGTCTGTGTCCACTGAGCACTTATAGAGGGGACAGATCAGATAGCTCTTAAGTGTAATCATATGTTGATATGACCATTTTGTGGATAACCTAGTCGCAGAGGGTTGTGTCCCACCAAAACATATGTCAAAGGCCTACCTTCATATGACCTTACTTGGAAAGTATATGCAGATATAGCTAGTTTCTCGAGGTTTAAGCCTGGGTCCAGTGGATCATCCCTTACTTTTGTACTATACAGTTGTATGTTAGCATTATAGTAACTGGTTGTGCTTGTCAGTACCTTACCTTGAGGGACACAGGGTACAAGTAGGGTGTTTACCTACTTGGTATGATGAACAGCCGGGAGTATGCCTGTGTCAAAGTGGCATTTAGATCCACCTTTATGCCCATCTAACTGATTTTGCATATGTTTACCTGTGCATCACAGAGGGTCTAACAGACCCACAACATTCCAGGATTTGTTTTAAAAATAAAGCTTTCTTTTGATTTTTGTGGTAGAAGTAGCCCAGTTCAGTACAATGACACATGAAAAACCAGATTTGCAAGTTTTGGATGAAGTCAAAAGTGAATCATCGGATTACTCATGCATGGGTAATGAAGATGATCCATTATGGTAAAATACATGCTTTCATAGCAGAGCAGTGGTGTAGGTGTGTTGTGGTGATGGCGATGATGACTTTGATGTTGGCCACGTGAGTCAAAGTTCCTGTGACAGTGAGGTGGAACACAAATCAAGTGATACAGACACAGGGAAGGCAGCCTCCTTGATTCAGATAATGAAGAAAACAGCAATGTGAATACATATTTGACTAGTTGAAATGTTGCAAAATGGCCATGCAACCAAATGGGAAGATTGACCAATGATAGAACTAGGTCCAAAAACATAGTGTAGGTCTTGGCAGGGGTGCAACATATTGGACAGAATGCCAGCACTGCCATTCAGTGTTACAAATAGTAGCAGACTAAATGCTACAAGATGCTATGAAATACACAATGGCTGAAATGCAAGTAAAACATACTATATGCACCAATAGGCATATTAAAAACTGTACTTATTATGACACCTCACTAGCTGAACTGAAAGCATTCATAGGTCTGTTGTCCTTAATGCAGATTTCTCAAGGTGCTTGCAGAGCTGTGAAAGACAGAAAAGCAATGGGTGAAGATACGGCACAAAAATTCATGCCCTTGTAGATGTAAAGACATTATTCTTTCACTTTACACATTTATGTTGGAACTCAGCCATTGGGTCCTCATTTGTGTAATAATAAAGTGAATGATGTTGTGAACAGATTTGCTGTTCCCTTCTCTCAAACTGGTCAGAATGTAGCATTCACCAGTTGGCTTACTGGTTTCCAACTGATGGCACATTTGCTAACAAAACACAAGGTGACCAGCAGAGGCATTATAGAGAAGAATGAAGCAGAAATTCCAAATGAAGTGTTGCAGTTTCAAAAACAGAACTGTATAGTGCAATCTTTGAATTTGAGAAAGTCATGACATTGGTCTCATATATGGTAGAGAAAAGCAAACTTATCCTGCTGGTGTCAACATTGCACCATGATGGAAATGTTGATCAGGGAGCCTTGATGAAATGGAAGCCTGAGATGGAAACTTTCAACAACAGAACCGAACATGGTGTAGATGTTGGTGATGAGGTGTGCAGCAACT